TGACCCAACAACTTTTCCAACTTCTTATCTTCACTGAAATCTTCATCCATTCTTTATTATTCTTAATCTACAGATATTTAAAATATTTATCACCATTTATTTCCAGCCATCCACTAATCTCTCGTATTCATACATTTAAATTTCAAAAAGAATTATCATTATTGCTTAAAAATTCTCAAATATTAAATTTCTCCGTATTCCTATTTTTTTTTTTTTACTATTCTAACAAATTCTACTTCCCATCACTATCGATTTACGAATATTTCAAATCATTTCAAAATCTTTCTCCACCCTGTTCCTGAATCAACTTTTCCAAACTAAGTCTAATACACGAAGAAATATTACAAGCGAGAGATGTGAGCGTGGAAGAGGATCGAGGAGAGGGCGCAAAGAACACAGAGGCACAAAGTTCATCGTCTTGGTCGTTTCCGTATAGAAGAAAACAGCGCGATGAATCACAAGAAGGAAGGAAGACGAAGAGAGGAGGCCCGGTCGACGCCCCCAGGAGTCGTTCAACCCGGCGGTCGTCGACGATCGGCCTTGAATCACCCGTGCCCGTTTACGGGAGCGGCGTGCGCTGCTTCGAGCAGCAAGCAGACCAAGTCGAGGCTTCCGGTAGAGCCCTGGACACGGTGTTCGAACATGCACGAGGCAAACCCGCGAGAAGATCGAAATCCTTGAGAATCCATGTTGTTTACTTTCTTCAATGGAGAGAAGGAATAGAAGATAATGAAGTGGAAATATTAAAGAAAAAGTGAAACAAAAAGCGTTGAAGAAAAGAAGAAGATGGCGTCGAAGGAACAAGAAATTAAAAACACAGGAAATAGTGGAAGAAGAAGAAGAAGAAGAAGATAAAGAAGAGATAGCAATAAAGACGAAAAAAAAGAAAAAGAGAATGATGTTCCAGAGATATTAAAAAAGAAATACTTCAAAGAAGAAGATCTCGAAAAAAAGACACCAGACACCAAAAAAAGTATAATAAGCAAAGAGAGAAGGAAGAAAGTGAAGAAGAGGTCGGCCCTTCTCTCGATCTTAGTTTCATCGCGAGACGAGGTCGCTCGGTTCGTGTAATGGAACACGTGCCTCGAGATAACGATGTGGAAATGAAAGGCAACGAGTGATAATGACTCTGGCGAATATAGAATTCGCGTCTAGGTTGTTGGTGAGGAGTTGGTGAAAAAAAATCGAGGGAAGTTTTCGTGAAATTGCAGATAGATGAATAGGTGTGGAAGAAAGTCAGGGGTTGTTGGGGAGTGATTTTGAGAAGTGAAGAGAACGCTGTTGGATCTGGTTGGTGGTGACGATGATGATGATTATCTGGTGGGACGAGATTTGATTAAGAATTGAATAGGTAGGCTGGATGCGTGGGTGATTTAGGTTGCTCTAATGAGGAAAGTCGATGAACTTATATTGATGTGGACACTTGTTGTGGATTATTGTTGTGGAATTTGTAGACTGGTAAAATGGACAATTTTGTTGAGCTTTTAATAATAATAATGGACGTAGCAAGATTTAACTCGTGATATAATTAATTATCTATCTAAAAAAGAAAAATTAAATCAAATAATAAAGTTGAAATTATATAAAGAGATTATACGTAATAGTAGATAATTAATTTGACGAATGATGAAAAATTATCACGGTTTGTGGATCAGCTTGATGATGAAGATGAGCTTAAGAATTCACATAAAAGAGACAAACAAGAATATAAACAGTTACAACTGAGAGATCCGAAAGGTTTTAAAATAATAAGAGTAGAGAAAATTGTCATAATCTGTGGATCAAAGAAATGGCGAAGCTAAGTCTAAATCGAGGAAAAAAGATGTGAAATGGTATGTGTGAAATAACATTCAAAGAAAAATTCTCTGGTCATAATAATGAAGTTCTCTAGTTTTCAAAGAATTAGTAATTAATTGGAAATTAGTACTTCAAATTCTTAAATGAAAAATTACATTTGATGAGATGGTAATAGATATTAATTAAAATATAAGTTTACTAACTTTAATTTTTAATTCAAAGGATTTCAACTTCCTGAAATAAATTTAATAAATATAGACTAGGAATTTTTCTAAGATTTAATATTATAGATGTACATTAAAATCAATATTAATATTTAAAAAAAAAATTACTGTATTATTCAATATTACTGTTATGAAGGATTCAAATCATCATAAATAAAATCTCAAAGATTAAGGGAAAACCCAATCTTTAAATTTTAAAGTATTAATAAAGAATCAAACAATTTTAATTAATTTTAATCCTTATAACCTACAAAAATAAAATCGTTCAATTTCGCCATCTTGGATACAATAACTTTAAAATCTACATAACAACGAATCAAAATATCAATGAATAATAAATAATCAGAGAAAAATGATCAATCGAATAATTACGAAAGTTCCAAATGAAATGATTTTCGATCAAGCCACAATCGTTTTCCACCAATCGTAAGCGCAATCTCCTGCCATTAATGACCCATCTAGATGAATTCACCATCTAAACTCGACTCTCCAGGAGAGGAGGCTCTGCGAGACGAACGAACCAATTGGAAATTATGCCAAAACGCTTTCTACGCTTTTTATCGAGCCCATCGATCGGCGTGTTACGACAGATACAGCGCGTGAGCTCGCATGATTGCTGCACCAGACTCCGGTGACGAGGCGAAATCGGCGCATGCATTACGAAAGTTAACTGGAGCACGAATCGACTTTCGATTCGATGGATCCTCCCTGAAAACCGAGAGTTGCACACTCCTTCGAATATTGGAATTCCTTCGAACCTTTTGAAGGAGGAGGAGGAAAAGAAGAAAGAGGAAGATCACAATTCTTCTGAAGGATTCAATCCTGGATAACGTCTGCATTACGTGAATAACACTCGAAGAGAGTTTCACGTAAGAGAGATTTTGATTCTTCTTTTTGGAATGGAATATCGAGATGTTGATTTGTAAATGAGATTTTATGCGAGTTATAAATATAAAATGAATTAAAGAGAGAGTCGAGATCAGCGCTTTTTGAATAAGTCGTGACTTCTTTTCTTCTCGTAGTTATGTAAAAATATTTAATTGAAACAACATCAATAAAATGTTAAAAAAAAAAAATCTGTCATAATAAATTTAATAAAATTTAATATTATTCAGAGTCGGTAAATAAATTACAAAAATTATTTTGAATCACTTTGGAGACTAGGAATATTAGATTGTTTTAAAATGTTTTTATAAGATAAATAATATTAAAATATTACAATTGTTACAATTGACCAATAACTTATTCATTTTTCGTGTTTATATTTGTTAAATTAATCTGATTGTAATTATGAAATTGATACATTGATTAATTATTTTTAAATATGTGGGAGAGTTGTATGATTGCATAGTTTTGCAAAAAATAATAATAAAAAAAGAAATACAATTTATTCTGAATCTTGGAATACTTATGTTTTGAAATGATCTTCATTCGTGCTAATACTACAACTTTACAAATTATTTCATAGTGTAAATTCTATCCGAACAAATTACATCAATTTATCAACAACACAAGATTACACCTAAACCAGAATCGATCATGACCACATCCTACCACAACGAACCCACGAGAATCTTCTTCTCAAGACACTTTCACTCAGACTCCTCCAGATGTTCTTTTAAATCACCATCAATCGAAGAAGATTCATTTCACACTAATCCATCAGTTGAATTCTTTAAAATTTTTATTATAGCAATTAATTTCTTACATCTTCAAACTATTGAACGACTGTAAAATTGATTTCGAATCGAATTTTCAACGAGGGAAGAGATATCTATGCTGGAATAAGATAAAAAAAAAAAAAATCAAAATACAATTACATACTTCTCAATTTTTTATTTCTTCTCCTGTATTATAAACCTGTCGATATTTTGAAACGAATATGCAAAACAATACTGGAAGAACCAAGAGTTAAGAATGCTTGTGTAATAATAATTTTTTTAATCTTAATTCCAATCTTTCAAAATTATTTTTTGACGACAAGAACGGATATTATCCGTTGAAACAAAAACCAAGAGGAATCGTTGAAATCAAAAATCTATGAAAACGATGAGAATATAATAATTTTTAAAGAATCTGCTTTAAAGACTCTGCAAAAAAATTTGTTGATCGAGTTCAGATTTTAACAGTTTAAACATCATCGTTAAAAGAAAGATAACTTTTGTTCACTTTTAGAAGAAAAAAAAAAGAGAGAGAGAATTTTACCCTCATGTTTCGTTCTGCGAGCTTTTGAAGTGACAGATTCTCGCGGGAAAGCTGGCGAACGTTTCCACGGGCGAGTTAGAGATCGCATGGAGCAGCGGGATATCTAGTCGCAGGTCATTCACATCGCGAGGGGACGAGCAGTAAAAATAGAACGAGAACGTCAGGAGTGCGTGGTCTCACGCCCGACCACGAGGATGATATCGACGAAGACGATGAAATTGACCTAGAAGGGGAGGAGGATTCGACATCCAAAATCTCTAAGAGCATTCTGCATGAACTTGGAGAGGAATGTAATTCATAAGAATGGACAAGATATTTTTTACAAAGATCTGTATGTAAAATCTGTTCCTGTTAGAAAAAAAACTATACGATTATTTCTTCTCTTTGGTCGTTCAATTCATCGTGTTGCATTCGATTTTTCCTTGAATTTGTTCGAAATAATTGTTAATTTTTACGAAAAGATCATCGCTAACGACCAATTAAACTGCAATTAAATTGGCCTCAGCTATGTCGATAGCTCTGACAATGCTGCTCTCGGAACGGTCACATTTGGATTGTAGGAATCGTTAAAAATATCGTACAATTTGTCATTACCCTAATCGATTTTAAAAATTAATCTCGAATCGATTCTTCAATTTTATTTCTTCTCGTCGAACAATTTTTAGAGAATTGATGTGTATTTTTAATCAAGGAGTAAGAAGGAGTAGGCGTTATCTTTTTCAAAATTAATTAAAAAAACACTTTGGCACGTTTTATCTAATATTTAGTACATACCTGCGTGTAACACCAATTTTCGGCCACGGGGGTGTTCACTTCCGGTGGTGGAGGGCTTGGTACACGGCTTACTGCCATACTACTGCTGCTGTGCAAGTTTGAGCTGACCCGCGACGTTTGAGGCGCACAGTCGCTCACCGCAAGTCTGAAACACGTACGAATTGTCCCTGTGTTACTTTACAGTTTGTCTAGTTTTCTCAAAATTAGAACGGTCTTTGATTGCACGTGGTTACAACTAATTAGAAGGGCACTTTTAATAAATTCTATTCTATTTTGTACCTTTTCTTCTTTCTACAATATTATCCATTGAGAAGAGACAAGTTTAAAAAAATCTATTAATATTCATCCTTTATCATTAATATGAACAGATACAAATATACTTATTTTGAAGAATTTCAACTAAGCAATAATTCTCTAACTGTAATGTAATTTTCTAATTAAAGAAATTCTTCAAATATCAAATTATCTTTAATAAGGGCAATAATCAAGTTAGTATAAAAAGTGAAATATTATTTATCTACAATCAAATTTTATCCCATATTATCAATAGTTTACGTTAAAATAAAAATTGATTAATTATTATGTAACCAGATATATTCTTTTACGATATAAAAAGAAAGCAATAATTTTACAAAGAAAAAAAAAAACAATTTATTCTTCCGCAAATTTATCATACAAATATATCTTCTCCTTGCTCCGAGATTCTCTTAATTGTGCAAGATAGCCCGGACTGAAAAAGAATTCCTCAAACAAAGATCAGTGGATCGAGGCACGCGTGAACAAATCGTTACGTTACACATACCACCAGGGAGGGACACTAGTCGCTCGATGCGAGGAAAAGGGGGTGACCGAGGAAGAAGGAGGGGTGAACGGCGAAAGAGGGAAGGGGTAGGATGAAGAAAAGAAGCATGAAAGAAGAGTATGCGGGGCACGCGATGGTGCTCACGTGCGCCAAGTACGGAACTACTCGAGCATCATCGAGTCGAGTACATTAGCCCCGCAGGTTCATCGGACCTGCTTCTCTTTCTCGATTCTCTCTAGTCAAGCGGTGGTCGCTACGCGACTTCTCGTCTTAACCTTTTAACCCTTATCGGGCCGGTCAATCGATACATTAATGCGATAACCACGAAGGTGGATTGGTCAGGTTGGTTAATCGTGTCGAGCCTTCGTACGTTTCTGTCCTCTTACGCGAATGGCCTCACCTTTAGCGGTGAGGAATTCTTCCCATTTTTCGCACGTGTATATACGTGTTTACTCTTTTAAAATATATATAATTTTCTTACTTTTGTTGATGACGATGTAATGATTATTTTTTTATTAATATCGTTAGGAATAATACGTGTTGTATAATAAAAATATATATTGTAATGAATAAAGAAAGTCATATAATGAATGCTATAATTGGATTCGAAAGAATTTATTAAGAGAAGAATAGTCACTAAATATATAGTTATCGAATAACAGTGAACAGATGAAACTATAATCAAATTTAATAAAAATATTTTGGAAAATAATTAAAATATACCATTTCTAATTAGAATTCCTAAATCTTATTGTATTTACATTGGACATTTCGTATGGCAATTTAAGGCAAACATAAATCTTTAAATTGAAAATCTTTTGTAATTAATATCTCAAAAAGGCACAAATTGTAAAAGGATAATTCAACTCGTGTATAATAATTTCTAATTTCATCAATTCCTCTTCGATTCTTCATTAAATTTAACCAACATAAATTCTCTGAGCTACCAAAACTCATTATTATAATTGGTAATCATCGCCTACGTCTATGAAGACTTACTAGTAGTAAATGTCAAGTTATTACACCCCGAGTTAACTTTTCTCGATGACCATCATTTTTGTCGTTCAAACCAATTGTTGTTGTCGTTCGTTCTTCCATTACGTAGACTAATTTCCGCCTCTGTACGTGTAATTGTGTAACACGTAAAACGATTAACAAGTTTAGAGGCAGAAATGATACAAAACTATATCATCTGCGTATATTTTTAAGCAAATAAATAGGAACAATACTTTTCTCGTTTATGACTTTTTTTTATCTATCTTACATTATCACTAACTCGATGATTATACGGTTTCTTCAAGTTCAGGCTTTAAATCACTATGATTTATTATGTTTATTAATTCAATGTAATACAATTTGTTGGAAATTGCCTGAAATATCTTGTTAAAAAATTAATTCTTTTATTCGAGAAATTACTACAGGTTAAGTTATTATCGCGTTAAAAATGTTGTAAATTTTATTAAATAATGGAATTATTGAAATTTGAAATTATCAAATGGAAAATTGATTAGATGAACGATTTGTCAAGAATTTTTTTTTATTTTTTTGAATGAAAATAACATTAATTTATATTTTAAAAATATTGGAAACCATGAGCACAAGTTAAATCGTAATTCTGCTCACTAATATATAAAGAAAAATTAAAAGATATGACATATAGATTATTCGATTAGTTGTACAATATAATTATTTTTACTACATTAAAAAATATTTACACATGAATATTTCGCTTTATCTTTTAGTCTATTCAATTTTTAATACCCTTCGAAACTGCCAGAGACCATCGAATAAAAGTGTTCGTGAATGATTGTGGCACCGGATGGGTTAATATCAGTATTTATCCCCTTCCAAAGGACATCGTTTCCGCTTACGGATGCCGTTTGCGTTACATTAAGAGACGTATGGAGGTGAACTACATACGGTTAAATTGTTGTTCAATGTACGAACGCACCCGTTGCAACAGAAAAAGTGTTTCAACCGCGTATATGGTTAACCGCGATACTAAAAAAAAAAAAATACCGAATAACGATAAGCAAATCTCGAAACCGCGAAGTTCCTTTGGAAAATCGATATGATTTTATACTTTTAGGTAAATATGTTTATCTGGTAAAGAGAAGAAGATTATGAAATGTTGTATTTGTAGATTTTCTTATTTTCTAATAATAAGATTTTAAAAGTTTGAATTGTCAAATTTTCAAATTTCTAAAGTTTTTAAGCAAACAATTTTCCAAATTTTAAATTCTAGATAAGTTTAAAATAAAAATATCTGTTATATCATCAATATTTATTACAATATTTTTTCTCAATTATTGAACAAGTATATGCAGATATTCTGAGATCAATATATGTGATATTTTGAACGTTTGAAATACAGGAAAGCAAAGCTTTGTTGCTTTGATTTTAATGGTTTCATAATGTATCGTTTTCAAGTGATATACATATATGTAATATCGACTGCCTGGCAAACGAAAAACAGTCTTGTTTTCCCCCTTTCACTTTCCCGCACACACTCTTTGTGAGCAGCAAAAGTAGACAGGAGCAGATAAGAGAAATCTCACGATTATGGCGCTTTTACTTCGCTTTAAACGCACAAAATAAAAGAAAAACCGAAAATTTTTACCAACTATAGTGAAAGACAATTCGAGAAAGTATCTTACGTTTCTCTCTGCATTAGAAGTGGTTTCAGCCACGAGAAGAATGTTTTTTTCTATTTTAATTATATTACAAGAAAATAATAATAGGGGAATACAAAGTATATTTGAAAATTTAAAAAATATGTGTGTTGTGATAAAATAAAATTATCTAATTTTACAAATATCACTTATTTTTTTACACATATTTCGTTTAAATTAATCAATCTGTTTATGAATATACAAAGTTAACCAGAGAGATTATAAAAAACGATCATAAAAACTTCTATAAAAAGTCATAAAATTCTACAAAATGCATGGAGTGATAAAGCGGAGAGATAATAAATCACTAGCTAATACAGCGGAGATTAAAATTTGCCAGGATTTACAACAGGTCGCATAACAATCATAAATTGTGTTGTTTTTGATTTTATTATTATATTCTCTCTGAGCTTGTTTCAAATAATACGCTTCTTTTCTACATGTCTACATAAATTCCATCAAATTTATTTTTCTCGGAATAAAATATACAGAAGAAAAAAATTTTTTTAAATTTTTCGACTTTTATTTTTTTATATTGATAAATATATTATATCAACAAATATCAAAGCGTATAATTTGACATAAAAGTTAGTGAATTGTCAAAATAATGTCATAAAAAAATCATTTTATATTTCTTTATATTAATACGACAGAGAAGGAACAATTGCAAAATAACCTAAAAATGGAGAATAAAAAAAAAAATAAATAAACTCTATAACAGATATACATAAAGATACAGAAAAAAAAAAAGTTCATTTTAAGACATGTAAAAACAAGAACAGAAAAAGAGAAGAGAAAAATTGAACATAAATCTCATTTAAAAAGGCAAGTGTGATACATCCATTCGTTAAACCTCTTATCCGTCGACATGTTAACTGGCGCCTTTTGCACGACGTCCCTTCTCTTCTCCGTTGTTACTCGGTCTAACTTTCACTTCCACGTTTTACTCCCACGTTGCTTTTGCGCTAGATACAGTCAGAGGCATCGAGCGAAAGGAGAAGAGGCTATTCGGGACGTGGTGGTTTCGAGCGACATTTTGCCAAGAGAAAGATAAACGGTTTTATCGTGATTCCACGTTCTAAGCCAGGTGAACGTAGGGAACGCGTGGATATTGGTTGAAGAGAACGTGACTGAGCTCATGCGCATGCTCAGAGACTGATTTTGTGGGAAACAGGAGATTGCATCTCGGCAATATTTACGGATCATTTTTCCGCACATGCGCGATGCGAGTATAATTAATGGAAGAAATATAACAAGATAGAAATTTATGGAAATTTGAATATTTTAATGTGAATTGACAGAAATCTGAAAAGAGAGATGTCAATTTGATTTTGATTTGAAATTATATATTTTAATTTTTACTTTAATTATATAGAATATTATATGTGATTATATGTGTCATTATATTAATCTGTGTTGTCTCATCATACTTCAATTTAAAATCACATTTCAAAAGGAAATTCATTGATTATATTGGATTATTTATAAATTATTTATTACATAAAAAATGATTCAAATAAAAGTTTTATCAATTTGTTATGTTTTAATTAACGCACGAAGATCGCTTTAAATTTTTAAGTGTAAGCATTCACTTTATATTTGCCAAAGAATATATTGCACATTGACAAGTGAATTATTATTATTATACACGAATAAAATATAGAATGAAGC